AAAAAGCAACTAACAACTGAACATAGTAAGCAACTTACTGTATCTGTTGTTTGAAATTAATTTTATGATATGTATATTCAGTTAAAAATGGTGATTAGGTGGATTTGTATTTTGAGTTTTTGCTTGAAGAACTGTTACTCTTGGATTGATCAGCTGTGAATATGGCAATATGTGATAAGTGAATTTAGTTTCTATTAGAGTGTTCTTGGGAGCTTATTCATTTGAAATCAGTCTCGATTAACAAAATCATTAACGCATTAAAGCACCATCGTAAACATAAGCATCAGCAATACATATAGATCATCAGCATAGCGTTCCATACTTACACAAACTACACATAAGTTGTAGCTACATCAAATCATATTACAGTTACTATAAAGGGCTGAAATACAAGCTGGATAATGAGAATCATAATGAGCAGAAATGAAATATATACATACTCTTGAACAAAAAAAACAAAAGTTTTATCAGTTAATAATGAATGAATATAAAAACAAACAAACAAATTATACCACCCAATAACTAACTAACTACCAGCAACCATGTGTTCAACATCAATTGTATTTCTCAAAAACACATATACCTAACTCTAATTTACACACAAAGTATATATAACAAATTAACAATGCGTTTCAAAGATAAAAGCCCATCAATTTCAAAGATAGCAACAATTTACAAGTTTTTGGAAAAAATTACCTTTCAAATCTGCAAGAGGAGTCCGCGGGGAGTCGAGACGGCGGGGCTTCGAGATGGCGGGACGTCGAGGTGGCGAGGCGTCGTAGTCTTGGAGGCGGTGTCTGAAATACGGGGCGGCGAGCGCGAAGCCTTTGCGCCGAGGCGTCGAGCCCTTGCGTCGGAGGAGAGACGAGACAGTGTCGGAGGGCCTCGAACGGTGGCTGGTGTGCTTGGCCGGTAAACTGGAGGGGTGAATTTCAGAAGAGGGAGGCGAGGCAATTCGCGACTCTCGAAGCCTTTGAACCGAGGCGTCGCGCCCTTGCGTCGGAGGAAACGCGAGACAATGTCGAAGAAGAGTAGGACGGTGGCTGGTGACGGTGGGCTTGGGCGGTAAACTGGAAGGTGAATTTGAGAGGAGGGAGGCGAGGCGAGGCGAGGCATGAATCGCGATTTCACATAGTGGCGGAATGGATGAAAATGTAAACCCTAATTGCCTTATGTATTAATTATTATATTATGCATCAAGGTCATGTTTGGTAGCTAAATAAGCTAGTTTATAGCTTATTTGATTAAATTATAAGCTTTTTGTATTCAAATTAGTTAATTGAATTTTTTATTTCAGCTAGGTTATCAGTTAATTTTACCAAACTTTTTTATCATATAAGCTAGCTTTTCAGCTATAAGTCATAAGCTATAAGCTCAAAAATTACATATAAGCTACAAGCTAGCTTATCAGCTATCAGCTAGTTTTACCAAACATAGCCTAAGACAGGCGGGTTGTGGCAGGGCAAGGCAGGGCAATACATGACCCGGGACGGGTGCGATCCGGACCTAGCCCGTTTCACTAGCGGGTCGGACTCGCCCCGACCCATTTTACAAACAGGACAGGCCAAAAGGAGGAACAAACGCTTTGGGCCGGATAGGTCCAAGTCGTTTTGTCATCCCTAAATCCTGTTGGAAAAATCAGTTATAAAACGTGGGCTTGACCCGGTGTTGTTGTTATTTTTACCGGAGTTAAATCTAAAGATTCAATCCCCGGGTCGTATCTCAAAGAAGGTTAACCTGATTAAATTGTACAAAATTTCAATCATAAAAAGAGAAAACAAATCTTAAACACTGTAATTCGGTTGAATTTGGTTTCAAGTAGCAACTAACGATTCTCGAACAAGGTAAGACGAAATTCCAATTCTAAACAAATTCACGTAATGATAGAAGAGCAAGAGAATCGGGGATAATCGTTTTCGGTTCCAAATGCAGCTACCGAGCAATCAATTGCTCGGTTAGAAAACTCGAAAGCTAACTCGTCTAGAGGTTTATTCTCAATAACTCTTCGTAACAATAGAATAAACGTGAACGATCAACTATCAAATCAAATAACACACAGGCAATATATTTACGTACAAGCCTATTCTAGACGAGCCTAAATCGACCAACTTCTCCCCTTTTGGTTCTAAAAGTCCATTAACTAGGTTAGAATGACAATCAATCAACTAACCCTAGAATAAACCCAACTCGCATAGATTGACCAATTAACGAGCACGTAATCGAACAAGATGTAGATGAGAAGATGAAGAATATATCAAACTATGGAGCTTTCAGGTAATGCAACATGTTTATGTGTATATAACATTTTCTTGCTATTTATTACTTTTATAGTTGAAATATTTGAGAGATGAAAGGAAAAAGAGGAACATGCTGTTGAAATATATATCATCTCTCTTATATATAACAAGTGATTAGCCTTTAGAGGCCTACACGTGACATGGTGTTAAGTGACCTAAAGATCTTAATTTTATTTTCTTTTTTTCTGCCACATACAAAATGACGCCGTTTATTTTGGTGTATCCTTTTTTTTTCTTTTTTTTTTTGTGTATCTTAATTGTTAAGCTATACCTACACAAAACTTCCTCGTGCTGGAAAAATGTTTTTGGAGGCCATCAAATTGACTTTCGATCTCCTGTTTTTTAGCATTATCACCTGCCGGATTTTCTGAAGTCAATGGCTTAGAGCATCTCCAGTGCGGGACTGTTGAGTCTAAAAAATATGTGTCACCTACGTATTTTAAACACCTTCTTTATTTTTTTCTCTCCAATGGTCACTGTCGTGGGCTAACGTGGCTTGACTACTTTCTCACCCACTTTCTGGAGGTAGAAAGTCTCCATAACAGCGTGACTTAGCACAATCGTGCCCAAAATCTGAAGATTTTTTTTTTTTCGTGGGCACTGGGAAAAAATTGCGCGGACAGAGGATGGTTTTTGCTGCAATAAGTGATTGAGAGAGAAGCGAAGTTCGTAGGAATTTCCCATACAGAAATCAATTCCCGTGAAGTGAAATTCAGATATCATCTTTTCTCCTTCATCATCTCGCAGGCAACCAATCAAGAGAGAAGCAAAATTCTTTCTCCTTCAAAGGAACTAACCCTACAGGAATTCAATTTCAGTGAAATTCAAAAATTCTTTCTCCTTCCTCATCATCGGTGGCGGTGCTGTGTCGAAAGGTTTGGGATTGAATGAAAAATTTTATTATATTCAATATTTTTTCATGGTGCATTTTCCCAAATTGCCTAGTCTACATAAGCAAGATTGTACGAGATTAATTAATCTAATGAACATGGTTGAAAACTAGTTTTGTTTTGTTTTTTTTTCCTGAATCTCTCGATGAATAAAAATAAGAGAAACAAGATTGTTGCCAGAAAATTTTAGAGAGCAAGGCATAGGTTTATCTCCCAGTCAAATAGTCAAACTATCAAAAAGTGAAAAAGGTTCTCATTCAAACAAAGAATCTTTCTACGAAGTGGTGACTATAACCTCTTCAATATACCTAGTATACGAGAAGGATGGAAATAGTTGATGAAATTTATTATCCAATTCTCTTAATGAAAAATTGTTAGTTGAATAGTAGATTTTTTCCTCACAATCTTTCATGTAATATGAAGTATGTATTTTATAGATGTTATGATTTTTGTTTAGTTTTTTCTATGTGAATATGGTGATAAACATATGAATAATGTAATCAATTAAAGCTTGAAGAGTTGTTAAGAGTGCCAAGAATGGCCTCAGGTTGGTGAGCCCCGTATGAAGCCTTTTGCTATCGGAGCATTATAAAACTTGTAATGTTTGAAACTTGGCTTATATATGATAATGTTGGTAATTTGAAATGTAATTTTCGGGCTCTGGGCGTGTGTGTCGAGTGTGTGATAATTTCGGTGGTGAATGGTATTTTGTGCAAAGGTTTGACTCGTTGTTCTCTCGTTTAAATTTTTGTAATATGTCATCAATTGAGTCGGCATGTGTAATGTGTAAATTGTGTAAGCCGATTGAATATTGAGGAAGTGAGAACTGATCCGCTCGGTATGTGAAGAAAATATTGTTAGCAATGCTAGATAATAGATTAGTACCTAATGTGTTGACTTACAATTCTTTGATCCACGGAGTCGAAAAACTGTAGTCCAAATGTGCGTGGCTGCAATGAGTTGATCTCTGGATAGTATACTATGCACTAAGAAAATGGAGTAGTGACTGTAAAGGTGAATGAACTATGAAGTTATAAAGACTTCTCTGATTGATGTATATTGCAATGTGGAGAAATTAGATTTTGACCAATGACTGCTTGAAAGGATGCTTGCAATGTGTTGATTAATGGGTTGTGCGAAGTGAAAAAAACTACTGGAGGGTTTAAAGCTTCTGGAAGACATGCTGTAAAAATTTGAAAGGTAATTTTCATCATTTTAAAACTAGCATCTAAGATATATCCTGAATACTTTGAAATTGAATTAATTAAATGATTTGGTGGCACATACATTAGAGTGATGGTATGATTTGTAAATTTACATGCCTTTCATTTCCTTTCATAAACTGTTGATTACTAGTTATTTTGGTTGCTAAATTATTTGTTGTTTGGATATTCGGAAAAATGGACCCACAAAAATCTTAAAAAATTCAAATGCCCAACACTCGTTAAATTATACCATGCCAGCTCAAATCTTAAATGGTGTTCGTCCGTTTAATTTTCCATTTCAACCAGTTCTTCACTTTGATCCAACAAATAGAAACTATCATCATCATGTCGATCAACAACCTCGCATTCACCTTGATCCAATTAATGGATTCTCCTTCCAGAGTCTTTTGAATGCTCCGATGTGCAATACCCAAACTCGTGATGCAACCAAAGAACGAAAGAAGAGAGAAAAAGATACTCAAAATCCTACCAATTCTCAATCTTCGATTGCAAAAAAGGATTGGACAAAAGAAGAAGAGATTGCATTAACAAAAGCATGGTTATATGTCTCGGAGGATGCTGAAGTTGGTAACAATCAAAAGGGAGCAGCTATGTGGGATCGTATTTTAGAAGCTTGGAAAGAGAATATGGGGGTTGCATGCAATACGACTTGAAATAACAACAACCTGCAACTCAAATGGTCCAAAATACAATTTGCAGTGAGCAAGTTTCATGCACAGTATGAGCGTTTAGAATGGCATCCACAAAGTGGCTCGAATACAGATGATCTGGTATAAATGTTATTTTATTATTTAATTTCTAGTTATATTTATCAAGGATGAAGTTTTTATATTAGATCATTATAGTTAATCTATAAAAATCATCATTTAATTTTTAATTAGTATATATTTTATTTCTTATGTAGAGAATAAATGTTATGGGGTCGCATGAAGATGTAGTTGGTGCTCCGTTTAAATTTATCCATTGTTGGAAAATTTTGATTAAAAATCCTAAATGGTGTTCGAAAGAGCTTACAAAGACGGCGGCTACAGGATGTAAACAAGGAGTTGAGCACAACAAAACAACAATGGTCAATCAACTAGAAGGCAACATTAATGATTGTGATGTTCTTTCTGATTGTACCAAAGTTGATGGCGTTGAGCGACCGCAAGGAAGAAAAGCCTGTAAAGAGAGGAAGAGAAAACTGAATGAAGAAAAAAGTGTGGTTGATGCATTGAGCAAGTTGCAGTGCACATTAGAGAAACAAGTTAGCATTAATCAAGCAACTTTGGAGATGAATAGAGAAAAAGATCCAAAAGAACTACAGCTACGGGGAAGTAATGCAAAAGGAACTAGAATTAAAAGAGAGAGCTCAAAAGTTGAAAGAAAAAATATTTATAATGAAGTTGAAAGAGCAGAAGAGGCAAGAGCAAGACCACTTTATGAACCAAGACTTAAGCAAGTTCTCCCCTACTCGTCGAGCTTATTATGAACTTAGAAAGGCTGAAATCTTGAAAGAATTGGAGGATGATGTCCTTGTAAATTTAATCTGGTATGTTGATACTCATTCTTAACATCTATTTTTCTATTTATATATTTATGCGGCGAAAAGAGTTGATGCATTGGAGGTTACAAAAGTTCGAGAGTGAAATTTTCTCACGGGTCTTATTATGGTATACTTTATTATTTGGCTTGACTTTATTTGGTGTAGTTTAAACAATATATTGATGTCAATGATTTTTTTTTTTAATATTTTCAGGACTTATGATGAGCACTTGGAGTTTGGAATGACTTTTGTTTAAAACCTTGTAGTTTGCTAAGTTTAAGATCATCTCATATGAAATTGTTACTAGGGCCTTGAAGTATTTGTTATTTGTGTTTTTTCTTCTTTTTTTTTTTTACGTTTCTTTGGTTTGTTCAATACTCAGTTGGGGATGATAAGTTGTTATTTGATTTTGTTTATCATGATTTCGTTGTACGGAGTACCAGTTATTGCACACTTTCACTGTATAATATATTTGGCAACTAGTAAGATTCTGTCGAGCTTTATTAATATTACCATAACTCTCTCTATACTTAATATTTTTTACTTCCGTTTTTTTGTTGAAAACTAGACTCTTGTGGCTTTCCAATGGTATATCATATGTTTTATAGTTAGTGTTGTAGTTTTATTTTTATCGGAGTAGAATCAAAAGATTCGAACACCGGGTCGTGTTCTCAAGGAAGGTTAGCCGGACTATTTTGTACGTTTATTCGATCACAAAAACGCAAATATTCCTAAACACTCTAATCAAAGTTGTCGGTTTTAATTATCAACTAATGAGATGTAAATAGAGATATATAAATGTAACAGCTCTAAGGCACAATTCAAAAAGATAAATAACGTTCAAATATGAATAAACGAGCTAGGGTATCGGGGACAATCGCTTTTGGTTCTACACACATTTAACGACAATCAACTACTCAATTAAATGGTTCGACTAACTAACTCATTTAGCGGTTTAACCTCACTAACTTTCGTAATATGCGGATAAACATAAATGAGACAATTAACACATAGACAATACGCTTCCGAACATGTCTACTCTAAACGAGCCAAGTTCTACCAATTTCGCCCCTCTCGGTTTTGAATCGATTGCATATATTAAAATGGTGATCAAACATTTAATCGTAAAATTAATAAAACTCGCAAAGATTGAGTAATTGACATATAAACAAGAACGAATGGAAATAATTATCCCCTAAACCCTAGCTAGAGGATTAGTTGTTCATAATAATCTCAACATAAACATTCACATAAAAATAAGCCATTCTCAACATAAACAAGATGAAAGAAATAACTTACTAATAATGTGAAATCCAAGAGCAAATGCAAACTTAATCCAAGGTACACAATGTCTCCAAATAATCTTCCAAAATACAAAACACAAGCTTAAGAAAAACTTAGAAAATAAGATGGAAAAGATGGTAAAAGAAATGGACAAAATGGTGATTAATGGTGATGGATTATGATGGATGATCCTGGATGAAGAAGAGGTTATTTTCTTATAGACCTCCATCCCCTTTTTCAGGTGCATTTTTCTCAAAACAAGCCCCAAAAACCGACCCTTGCTCCCACTAGTGGAAAAAGCCACAATTTCTGCAACTCACAGGTTCCGTGGCCCGCGGAGGATACCGCAGCCAGCGGCGAAGAACAGCTCCGCGGCCGCGACTTTAGGGCACAGAAAAAAATCCTTGCGCTTCGAGGTCACCTCGCGGCCCGCGGCGAAGGAATTTCGATGACGCGGTTCTCGGGCTCGTACACGCTCGTCCAGACTCGAATTGAGTTCCGTTTTTTGCTACGTGTCGCCTACGAACCCCTTTAATTTATGCTCTCAAACCAGTTTTTTTTCTCTGAAAAGAATACTTGCCCGAAATTTCCAACCTACCACCATAAACGACAAAACACGAAACAGAAAATGGAAAAATACACGAAAAACTCAAAAAGACTCAAATAGGAAGAAAACACATAACCAAACACTAAACGAACTAAAAATGAAAGAAACTAACTAAAATGGGGAAAAAGAAAAGTAAAACAAGCACGAAAAATACAACAAAAATGGGACAAACAACTCCCCCACACTTAAACCTTTGTTCGTCCCGAACAAAGAGAAAAGAAGAGAAAACACATATATGAGTAAAGACAAGCGAGACTAATCTCAAACTAATCAATCAAGTCAAGAAGAATTCAAATGATCACAAGAACATACATCGACTATTAACTTGGCTATTTTGAAAGACAAGGACTCTCGGATGTAAAAGTATCTCATATGTGCCTCACTCCATTTCTTTTCACAAATATCAACAGGGAATGCTCAAATTGGTTATCAATCGAGTCAATCATAAATTTGCCTATCATCTAACTTTTACTCTAAAACAATCAAATTCATGCAATAGTGAATCAAGAGGACTTTTTAGGGATGTAACGTAGGCTCTTTGGACCGGGTAGGATAAATATAGGCTAAGTGGCTAAAAATCGAATTCACTACATTCATTTGCCTAACCATGAGAATAAACTTTTCCGGTTGTCAAACATCAACCGTTTCCTCCGATATCTTCAAAACCAATACGCTATCCTCATTATTCACAATCTCTTTTTTTATTATTATTATTATTATTATATAAATTGTAGGATATTCATTTTCCTTTGNTATATACAACACCTATACTAATCACCTCCCAATCTCCATAATACCATTCGCAACTCAAAATATCATCACGGGGTATTTTAGGAAAGAATCAATACGGCTCAAAAGGGATTGACTAGCGGATTTATTTTCACAAAAATAAGGGTAATACAAAGAATGCCTCAATCATATTCACATCGCACAAATTCGACTTATTTATTTTAAAGTAGACTCTAGGCAAATCCTAATTGACAATGATTTCAACCAATATCACCCAAAAAAAGAAACGAACATGGCTCAAACCTCACAAGGTCAAATAATTATCCAACAAAACAACCAAGCATTTAATCGAGATATATCACTTATTCACATCATCACAACTTCTTAACTCAATCAACCGTTATTGACTACTCCCACAATTCACCACAGTCCAAACTCAGAAAGACACAACATATAATCCTAAAAAGAAAATAAACAAAAACAATCCTAAAAAGAAAAACTAAGCCTGATCAACCACATAGTCACGTAAACACGCAAACCCCCCCCACCCCCACCCCCACACTTAGAATTAGACAATGTCTCCATTGTCTATCCGAAGTGCAGAAAAGTTAAACCACACAATCAATCGACTCGAAAATAAAACAAACTGTACAAAAGGAAAGAGAAAGGGAAAGAAAAACGTACAAAGCACAGTGACAAGTCACTGTGCATCCGATGGTGGTGGTTGTGGAGGATAGGGGGTACTCGATCCCGAACCCCAATAGGTGTCATACTGGGTGAATCGCTGGTCCCAACGGTCCATACGAGCATCTTGCTGATCCTGGCGCTTGCGAATAGACTGGAGGCCGTCAGTGAAGCCGTCGAAGCGGGAGCCCATTGTTGTAGCACAAATTTTTATTTTTATCGAGTACCAAATCGAAGGATTCGTTCCCCGGGTCGATCTCACAAGGAAGGTGGTTCGGAATTTAGCTTCGGTATTGATTTCACACAAAAAGAAAATAAAATCCTAAACACTCTAATCAAATAGGGTTTTTGATTAATTAATAACTAAGAAAGAAAAAGCAATAATCTACCTAAGAATAAAAGAATGAAACAAAGATGGGGAAGCTAGGGATCGGGGATAATTAGTTCAAGTTCTAGCAAAACCGGGCAATTAATCGCTCGGTTCGAGATTGACACTCTCGCTTAGACATCTAACGGTTCGCTCCCAATAACTCTTCGTAACAAGGGATTGAACGTAGACGAACAAACTCGAGCATACGACACAGGCCAATCATCCCAATCCCAATAACTTTTCGTAACAAGGGACGGGTCATCGACAAGCACGTATTTCAATCCAAAACCTATAGACTATTCAGTTACGAATCATCTATCTCATGCGAGCCTAGGTCTACGACTTCTCCCCTTTCAGTTCTAAAAGTCTCCAATTCAATTAGAAGGTGTTTAATCAACTAATTATTGGAATCATCAAAACCAAACTCGACAACTCAATATCCAATTGTTACAACTGCAAGATCGAAGTGTCACCCTTCGACTACACCAAACTATCAAGCACAATTTCATCAATTCCTAATCAATTCAACTCACATAAGCATGAACAAATCAAGCCCGAAAAATGCACGTTAAACAAGAACAAACTTTCCCTATCCCTAGCAATCAGATTTAGCTACGAATATTAAATCCAACAATCATAATCATTCCTCTGAAATAACCATTATTCATGAATCAAATAAGAGAAAGGAATACTTACAATCAGTTCAAGTTCCAAAGTTGAATTCGAAATACAAGCTTAATCGTAAAGAAAAAAGAGAAGAAGAATGAAAGAAAACGATGAAAGAAAGGTGAAAAAATGAAGAAGAATGAGAAGAGAAGGAGAAAGAGGGAGTTCGTGAGTTTTCTTGGGACCTAGGGTTTTCACCCGGTCGAGAGACGTCCCTGAATGGAATCCCATACATGTATTTATAGAAGAGCGCATCACGGCGCGGGGAAGGGCGCATTGCGGCGCGGAGGACCCATCTGGCGCGGCGCGGCAAGGCTTCTCAGCACTGCGCGGGGCAGCTCAGCGGTGCGGCAGGGGACTTTATCGCGGCGCGGGACCTCAGCAGCGGCGCGACAGGAGTGAAAGCTGGAGCCTCAGTCCACCTCGTGGCAGCTTCGCAGCGCGGGGTCTTCACGGCGAGGCCTGGGCGAGCTACTGGCATATGTGCACGTCTCCACTTCTTGGGCTCGTATACGCTCGTATGGACTCGAAATCTGGTTTCGTTTTCTCCTGTGTGATGCACACGAATTCCGCTATCTGATTACGCTTGCCCGACTAATGTTTTCACAATATTCTATTCTCTCGAGACTTCCAACCTGCACACCATAAACAAAGAAAAACCGGAAAGACATACGGAAAACACAAGAAAAACCAAGATAGAGGAAAACACGTGATACACTACAAAACGAGATAAAAACTAACTAAAAAAACTAATATGGGGGAAAAAGAAAGGAAAAATAACAAGGAAAAACGCAACAAAAATGGGACAAACAACTCCCCCACACTTAAACCCTTGTTCATCCCGAACAAAAAGAAAAGAAAACAAGACCTGAGCATGAATATGGTTTCAAATAAGAAGAGTTTCAAAATGTCCAAGTCAACCAGGTCGAATTCCAACGACCGTGAAAACATATGCCTCAAATATAAACTTGACCTCGAATTGACAAACTCTCAAACATAGAAATATTAGTACATGCCTCACTCATTCTTTTACATGAATATATGATAGGATCGCTCAGATTGGTCAATATTCCTGTTTCAACATATGCTTGCCAATCGTCTACATTACTCGAAAATAATCAAAGTTCAAAACTTGCGAATCAAGAGGACTTCACGGGTTGTAATGTGGCTTAGGTAAAGGTATGAATATATAAGGACAAGAAGCTCAAATAGACAATCAAGGTTCTCGAGTATTATCAAGCATTCCGCTACTCATCCAGAATCAATAAGGCAAAACACTTACTACCCAACCAACATTCCACAAACAACACATAGATGCTCAGAACAAGTTGCAACATCATCACTTAACCTTATTTTTTCTTTTTCTTTTTTCTTTTTATTTGGAGAGTAACTTTTTCCCAACAAGATTTAATCAAAAGGACAACATTCTGTAGGTGTGAACATTGGAGGTCATCCAAGTTTCCTACTGTAGTTTCCCAATGCTCATTACTTGTCAAAATGCATCGACTAGTAATAGGAGCATAATCCATTCGATTCATCCGGTGAACTCTCAAGTTTTTTTATTTTATTTTATTTTATTATATAGGTCAATCAATAGAAATCCAACTCCAATTCACCTCATTCAACAACGACACCATCTTCACCAATCATCACAAAATCAGTCAACAAGATACATTATATGCATGGCTGACAAGAAAAGGCTCAAGGCTCGAACGGGCTACTAGGGATAATAGTGTTTAGGGTCAAAGAACAAGGCTAAAGAGAGCTAATCAAACACAACGCCTCAATCACTTCCGCAATTTCAAACTCTAATCGATTCCTTTCAAACAAACTCAAGGCAAGTTCTAATCATTCAAGAATATGACTAATATCTCACAAAAAGAAGAGTAAGGATCAAAACCTCACAAGGCAAATATATGTCACTCAAAGCAATCAAGCATATACCAAGGCAATGACCACACGTTCGTCATCACAACTTCCCAATTTCATCAAACATTCATCAACAAATCATATAATTCACCGATATCATGCTCAACAACACAAAAACCTAAGACTAGACCGGTCCACCACATAAGCATGCAAAATCCAAATAAACTCCCCCACACTTAAAATGAGGCAATGCCCTCATTGCTTCAACACGAAACATGAAGTCAAATAAAAGACCTAGCACTTTCATATAGCGAACCAATACTAGCAACTACCACAAGAACATAAGACTCGAAAGAAAAGACAGGGGAAAGAAACAACTCAAAAAGATAAAAAAAAAAAGAAAAAAGAAAAGGGTGTGCAAACCAAAGTAGCATCGAGGGAAATAAGCATTCACATGCAAGCCGCTCGCCTATGCTCAACCCAAAACCTCGAAATTCCTCATTCAACGCAATCCTCCTGCTCGAGCTCACGAACACGTACCTGCCAAGAAAACACAGAACTCCAAAACTCCCATTATTCAAAGATAAAATAAAAGAGCAAAAAGAAAAAAAATCTAAGAAAGCGATAAATCACTTGGGTTGCCTCCCAAGAAGCGCTTTGTTTAACGTCATTAGCTTGACGAAACCTGTGAGGAAATCAGCCAGGGTCCAAGAAGAAGTGACGATCGTGCCACGCCTTCGTATTTTCCAGAAGTGGCAGCATGGGAAGGGTGGCAAGAAGGCGGGCCCGGTGGATCCAGGTGGCTATGTTCTGGATGAAGTGGTCTCGGACACGAGCAATCCCCAATTCTAAACGCAGATCTTTTCCCACCTGAGCTCTGTCGTCAACCTCAGGGATGATAAGCACATCAGTGGAGCAAGTCGAACTGCATCTCACCCACTTTGTAACACAGTGCAATAGCCTCGAAGATAGATGCTCCAACTCAGAGGTGGGAGCAGTGACCTGAGAATCAATCCCATGGATCTCCTCCTCTTAAATAACATCAATGTCTCGATGGAGCTCATCATCTTCTTCTTCGGCCTCATACATTTTCTTCATCGTACGGGCTTGAGTATCAAGCGTGAGGTGGGGGTCCTAGACTTGTGTCTCGATTGAGTCGATATGTGCTGTAAGGCTCTCCATTTGTGTGCTCAGTCGAGCAAATCTGAGCTCAATATCTCCATCTCGGTTTGCTCGGGCCATCATCCAATCGAGGATGAGGTCAAGCTTGGCATTGTACCCCGAAGAGTCATCCCCGAGCTCATTGAAGTGCAAGGGTGCTGAATGGGGGTCCACAACCTTGGGATCATCAGCCTGGGACTCGATAGAGTCGATGCGCCTCTAGATTCTCCACTTGCTCGCTCAAACGGGCACATATGAGCTCAATCTTCTTCTCTCGTTTTGCTTGGGCCATAAATCGATCTAGGATGAGATCAAGTTTGGCATTGTAGGCGGCTTCTTCTTCTCGAGCTGATTTGGACTCTATGAAATCAAGAATCTGGTCGAGCTTCTCGTTAAACCCGTGGGACTCATAAGTTTGCTCAACCAAAAAATGGTGCCAGCATTGCTCAGAGGAATACGGGTAAGGTTGGGTGTGGTACCCGGGGAAATAGACCGGCTCGTCGTTCCAAGATGGGTAATGCAGGGAGGAGTACCCGTGATTGAAATTCATTGTACCTGCACACCAGAACTAAACAACCACGCGTAGCCAAGAAAAAAGAAGAGAAAAACTGAAACAAGAACAAAAGAGAAAAACACATATGCACAAAAACACTAAAAATACTAAAATAAAGAGAAACATAGAAAATAAGATGAAACACCAAAACTAAATATCCTACTTGCCTTCCCCGGCAACGGCGCCAAATTTTTTGTAGCACAAATTTTTATTTTTACCAAGTACTGAATCGAAGGATTCGTTCCCCGGGTCGATCTCACAAGGAAGGCGGTTCAGAATTTAGCTTCGGTATTGATTTCACACAAAAAGAAAATAAAATCCTAAACACTTTAATCAAATAGGGTTTTTGAATAACTATTAACTAAGAAAGAAAAAGCAATAATCTACCTAAGAATAAAAGAATGAAACAAAGATGGGAAAGCTAGGGATCGGGGATAATTTGTTCAAGTTCTAGCAAAACCGGGCAATTAATTGCTCGGTTTGAGATTGACACTCTCGCTTAGACATCTAACGGTTCGCTCCCAATAACTCTTCGTAACAAGGGATTGAACGTAGATGAACAAGCTCGAGCATATAACACAGGCCAATTATCCCAATCCCAATAACTTTTCGTAACAAGGGACGGGTCATCGACAAGCCGTATTTCAATCCAAAATCTATAGACTATTCAGTTACGAAATCATTTATCTCATGCGAGCCTAGGTCTACGACTTCTCCCCTTTCAGTTCTAAAAGTCGCCAATTCAATTAGAAGGTGTTCAATCAACTAATTATTGGAATCAACAAAACCAAACTCGACAACTCAATATCCAATTGTTACAACTGCAAGATTGAAGTGTCATCCTTCGACTACACCAAACTATCAAGCACAATTTCATCAATTTCTAATCAATTCAACTCATATAAGAATGAACAAATCAAGCCCGACAAATGCATGTTAAACAAGAACACACTACCCCTATCCCTAGCAATCAGATTTAGCTACGAATATCAAATCCAACAATCATAATCATTCCTCTCAAATAACCATTATTCATGAATCAAATAAGAGAAAGGAATACTTACAATCAATTCAAGTTCCAAAGTTGAATTCGAAATACAAGCTTAATCGTAAAGAAAAAATAGAAGAAGAATGAAAGAAAACGATGAAAGAAAGGTGAAAAATGAAGAAGAATGAGAAGAGAAGGAGAAAGAGGGAGTTTGTGAGTTTTCTCGGGACCTAGGGTTTTCACCCGGTCGAGAGACGTCCCTGAATGGAAGCCCATACGTGTATTTATAGAAGAGCGCATCACGGCGCGGGGAAGGGCGCATCGCCGCGCGGAGGACCCGTCTGGCGCAGCGCGGAGGACTCGTCTAGCGCGGCGCGGCAAGGCTTCTCACCACGGTGCGGGGCAGCTCAGCGGCGTAGCAGGGGACTTCATCGCGGCGCGGGACCTCAGTAGCGGCGCGGCAGGAGTGAACGCTGGAGCCTCAGTCCACCTCGTGGCAGCTTCGCGGCGAGGGGTCTTCACGGCGAGGCCTGTGCGAGATGCTGGCATATGTGCACGTCTCCACTTCTCGGGCTCTTATACGATCGCATGGACTCGAAATCTGGTTTCGTTTTCTCCTAGGTGATGCACACGAACTCCTCTATCTGATTACGCTTGCCCGACTAATGTTTTCACAAAATTCTATTCTCTCGAGACTTCCAACCTGCACACCATAAACAAAGAAAAACCGGAAAAACATACGGAAAACACAAGAAAAACCAAGATAGAGGAAAACACGCGATACACTACAAAACGAGATAAAAACTAACTAAAAAAACTAATATGGGGGAAAAAGAAAGAAAATATAACAAGGAAAAACGCAACAAAAATGGGACAAACCCCCATGTTAGTCAACTGGGTCTGCTGCTGGGTCTCCCAATGATTCCACTGAGTTGTTTGCTGTGTCTCCCAACTGGCCCACTGAGTGTTCTGTCGGCTCTCCAGGCTGGTCCACCTACTGTCTTGGGCATCAAATCGGGTATGAATGGCTCGGATGTCGGATGCATACTGGTTTTGAAAAAGAGGTCCATGGGTTTTGGTACATCGTCCACCATTCCGATGGTTGTTGTGGTGAGCCCTCGATTTGGTGGTGCGGGGCTGGTTCCTGGTTGGGTGGTGGTGGGAGAAGGTGGTCTTCATCCATATTCATCGGTTCATGCTCGTCGTCGTCAAACGATTGACGGGATGTCTCGATCTGATCAGTGTTAGGCGCCTCAATTCCCTCGAGTTTCTTGAAATAGGTGTCGTAGGCCTTATGCTTCGTATACTCCCGAGGGGTGGTGCGGTTCTGAATGAGGTCGGCCTGCCGGAGCTCATGTTCATTAATGCACCGCATTGGCTCGCCCTCCACTGACCATGTCGCGTCGATAAAGACGGGTTGATCAGGGATTCCGAAGTGTTTGGCCAATGCCGTAACAACATGCCCGAGAGTCGGGATGCCACGTTGACCAAGTGCAATCTCTTGCAGAGAGTCTTGCCAAAAAGTCATAGAACACACCTTCACTCCTGCACGCATCGCCCATAAGAAATAGAGCTCGGCTTCACTAACTTTGTTCGTCTCCTTTTTCCCGGTGATGTTATAGCCTATGAACCTGTGTACAACGGCTGTGGCTAAGTCTTGAATGAGCCCGTTCGGCATGCCGCGTGAGTCCCAAGATGTATGAGGAGAAAGCTCTGTCCAAGTCTTCTTGGCGTTAAAGTCTGCTGGTTTGCTTCGCTTGTCGACTAAGTTAAACCCAAAGACCTTCTTCATCACATCATTATCCACCTTCACATCTTGCCCCTGCATCCGGTAAGTGAAATACTCATTACCATCAGCAAGCACGAACGTGTTAAAGAACTCGAGCATAAGGCTGCGATACGAAGGTTCTTCGATCTGGCATAGTTAAGAAGATTTAGTACCCCCAGGTACTTATTAATGTCACTAATGATTCCTAAGCTCCTCAAAACGTCCCAATCAATCGCCTTTGGCCGAACTAACTCCTTTTGTGAAAGACAGGAATATATTTTGCCTTCCTTCCTCGAGTAAATTGGGAACGAAGCACCGTATTGTTGCCGAAGGTCCGTCCGCTCATTTCCTTGAGGGGCATCGTGGTTCCCTTGACCCGATGATTGGGCCAATTTTTGTTTCATGTGATTAGAGGGGCCGCCTTGAGCGGTATTCATTTGACGTCCCGAAGTTTTACCCATGGCACTATCTCTTGGACAATTTGACAAACACCTTGTGGGCAAGAGTTTGGAATGAAGAGCTTGGATGAAGGTGGCAATGGTGAAATCCAATGTATATCTCACTTCAACTTCAATCCCAGCAACTTATCAACCAACAACTACACCATTCAATTTTGTCGAAGCAATAACAAGAAGGGTGGTTATATGAAGTTGTCCCGTGGTTGCACGTCGAAACTGTGGAATGGTGGACTCGGAGCTCGAAGGAGATGATGTGGTGGGGAGTGGTCTGTGCGGTAGCTGTTCGTGGTCAGAGGGAACAAACGCCGGCGAGAGTGGCTGTCGAAGAAGGCGCCGAAGAGAGCTGCTGGCCGGCGAAAACGACTTAGGGTTCTCGAGTTCGACTTTTAATTCACTTGTATGATGGAATTCGGGAGTGGATGACGAGTTTTCGGAGGTGATGATGTATTTGTTGCCAAGATTTGAAGAGAATTTTTATGGTTGATATGTGTTTGGAGCAGAAAATCGCCGGTGAGAGTGAGAGGAAGGAGAAGGTTCGAAAAATGACGGTGAATGTTCTTCAGGGCTACTTAAAATGGGAGGTCCACGGCCAGCGGAGGGTCCTGCAGCCCGCGGCGAAGAAACGTTCCGCGGCCGCGACTTGTCCCGCGGCCGTGACTTCAAGCGCAGGAAAACTGTGACGTCTCGCGGCCCGCCTCGCACCTCGCGACTCATCTCGCGGCCCGCGGCCCGCGGCCCGCGGCGAACAATTTTCCATTATATATATACATAGATATAAAATAATACGTACAAGGGTGCTCGATTTATTGCTGGGAGCTCGGCACTCTCGCGATCAAGTATACTGTGGTTCGTCGAGATTCAGGGTCTCGATGTGCTTCGTTTCGACATCTCCTCCAAAGTAGGGCTTGACTCTTTGTCCGTTCACAACAAATAATTCACCGGTAGATAGGTTCCGAAGTCGGATTGCCCCAAAAGATAGAACTTCATCGACAACAAACGGGCCGCTCCACCGGGACTTAAGTTTTCCCGGGAATAAACGAAGTCGCGAGTTGAAAAGGAGAACTTGCATACCCGGTACCAACTCCTTCCGGACAATACGAGCATCGTGAAGTCGTTTGACCTTGTCCTTGTAAATCTTCGAATTCTCGTAAGCCTCGTTCCTCAATTCTTCGAGTTCCAATAGCTGCAACATTCGCTCTCTTCCGGCGGCATCAAGGTCAAAGTTCATCTTTTTTATCGCCCAAAATGCTTTGTGCTCGATCTCGACCGGGAGGTGGCACGCCTTTCTATAGACGAGCCGAAATGGGCTCATCCCCAGAACTCCTTTATATGCTGTCCGTTGGGCCCATAATGCGTCGTCGAGTCGATGGGACCAATCTTTTCGGGATGAATTCACCGTCTTCTCAAGAATGGTCTTAATTTGCTTGTTGCTCGTCTCCGCTTGGCCCGACGTTTGAGGATGGTATGGGGTTGCCACCTTACGCGATATGCTGTACTTCTTCATTAACTTCTCGAATATGTGGTTGCAAAAATACTTGCCCCCGTCACTCACGATGGCCCGTGGGAATCCAAACCTACTCAAAATGTTATCTTGCAAAAACTTGATTACCACATTAGCGTCGCATGTCCTTGTGGGGATAGCCTCGACCCACTTAGACACATAATCAACGGCAAGCAAAATATACTCGAAACCAAAGGATTAGGAAAGGGTCCCATAAAATCAATGCCCCACACATCAAAGATTTCGACTTGAAGATTGTTAACTAGAGGGATTTCATTTCTAGAACCGATATTTCCAACCCTTTGACAACGGTCACAAGATTTGCAAAAGTTATGAGCCTCTCGAAAAATAGTAGGCCAAAATAAACCTGACTGTAGGACCTTAAAGGGGGTCTTTCGACCTCCAAAATGGCCTCCGCAATGAAGCTCGTGGCAAAATGCAAGAACATCTGACTACTCCTCTTCGGGCACGCACCTCCGAAGAATCTCGTCTTTTCCCATCTTGTAAAGGAACGGGTCATCCCAAAAATAGCTCCTGCACATCAAAACAAATCGTGTCCTCTCTTAGGAAGAGAGGTTAGGCAACAAGACTCCATCGAATAAATAATTCACTATGTCCGCATACCACGGATGGCTAGTTACTTCACCTACTTGCTCATACGGAAAATCATCATTAATACTAACATGCTCATGCAATGCAAGTGAAGAATCGAAAGGAACAATATGAGACAAGTGATCCGCTACAACATTTTCACAACCCTTTCAATCTCGAATTTCTACGTCAAATTCTTGTAAAAGTAAAATCCACCAAATAAGCCTAGGTTTCGATTGAGTTTTGCTCAAAAGATACCTAAGAGCCGCATGGTCAGAATGAACAATCACTTTCGATCCCAAAATGTAAGACCGAAACTTTTCAAGAGAAAAAATTACGGCTAAAAGTTCTTTTTTCGGTAGTAGTATAATTCAATTGGGCGCCGTTTAGGGTCAAACTAGCATAATAAATTACCCGGAGTAATTTATCAACTCGTTGGCCCAAAACGGCTCCAACTGCAAGATTTGACGCATCACACATAATCTCAAATGGTAAAGACCAATCTGGAGCAATAACAATAGGCGCAGTCACAAGCTTATTTTTCAATTTATTGAAAGCATTTAAACATGCATCATCAAACACAAATGACAAATCATTAGCAAGCAAGTGACACAATGGTTGGCTAATTTTTGAAAATCTTTGATGAATCGCCTATAAAAACCTGCGTGACCCAAGAAACTTCTAACACCTTTCACATTTACGGGAGGGGGTAATTTTTCAATCACATCAACCTTTGCTTTATCGACTTCTATCCCCCGACTAGACACAATATGCCCTAACACGACTCCACTTTTTACCATGAAGTGACTCTTTTCCCAACTCAATGTCAAATTAGACTCGATGCAACGCTCAAGAACACGAGATAAATTACGGAGACAATGAGAAAATGAATCACCGAATATAGAAAAGTCATCCATAAATACCTGTAGAAAGTCCTCGAGCATGTCGGGAAATATGAAGAACATGCACCTTTGGAAGGTTCCGGGTGCATTGCAAAGTCCGAAAGGCATCCGTCTAAAGAAAAATATGCCGAATGGGCATGTGAAGATGGTCTTTGGTTGGTCCTCGGGTGCTATGGCTACTTGATAGTAGCCAGAAACTCTATCTAGGAAACAATAGAATTGGTGGCTGGAGAGACGGTCGAGAATTTGATCGATGAATGGCAGCGGGAAATGATCCTTCTTTGTCACGGCATTGAGTCGCCGATAGTCAATACACATTCTCCACCCGGTAGTGATACGGGTGGGGATCATCTCCTTCTTCTCGTTCTCAATACCTCCTTTCTTCGGTACCACATGAATGGGGCTAACCCACTCGCTATCGGCCACCGGAAAAATAATCCCCTCGGAATAGACCTTAAGAACTTCTGTCTTCACCACTTCCATCATGTTCGTGTTAAGCCGCCGTTGGCTATCCCGAAATGGTTTAGCACCTTCTTCTAAGACGATCCGGTGCATGCACGTGGAGGGGCAAATGCCTTTAAGGTCTCCGAGGCCCCACCCGATAGCTCTTTGATTCTTCCGGAGCACCTTAAGTAGCTCTCTCTCTTCATCTTGCGCAAGCTCGGCGAAAATGATTACCGGTTTTTGTCTCTTATCGTCGAGGAATACATACTTGAGGTGTCTAGGTAATTCTTTGAGCTTTAGGGTCGGTTGTGTGCGGGGCTGGTCGGCTTCAAAAAGATCAACAGTCGGTTCTTTTTCATCGTCAAAGTCGGGTATGTGCCTCGTCTCCCACTCTCGTTTGGCTATCTCTTTGACGAACGGGTCGGTTATATCAACAAATGCACACTCCTCCACAAAATTCACTGAAGATGATGATGTGGCGTCCCGGACGGAAATGGATACGGACTCGCCCAAAACCGTCATGTTAAGTGTCCCGTCCTTCACATCAATGAGTGTGTTAGTGGTGGCCATGAATGGTCTTCCGAGAAGAATAGTGTGATCCTTCTCATTCTCGTGCACTTCTCCCACGTCGAGAAGAACAAAGTCCACGGGGACAATGACTCAATGAGCTTCCCCACACGAACAAGCACGTCCTCCACCATCCCCTTTGGATATCGTATCGAACGGTCA